CAAACTGTCTACATGTTTACTTGCACATTGTCTATTGTTTGTACATTGTCTTGATGCACTGTTTGCACTTTGTTTTGTTTTTTACACTTGTTTTACAATCGAGAGACTTTCTGTAAGTAAGAATTCCATTGTACCAGTACCAGTTACATATGGCAATAAAGTTCAAGTTCCATACTTGTACATCTCCTTCTTCTAGCTGAGGTTTTCTTCATAACATAGACCCTAACCCCACAATTATACATTTCACTCTGTATAAGAACACCCAAGAATTGAGGAGTGTTTTAGTCTAACTTTGTCTTAATCTGTTTAGCTGAGCCATTGAGCATAGCTCCTGACCATAGGAAAAGGAGGTTAGGACCCCCATTCATAGTGAGGAGAGACCAAGAGGCAGCTGGAGATGGAGTGGAGGAGGGATGCAAAAAGATGTACAGTATGCAAGAGACAAGGCGGTTAGGTGAAGTATTAACAATGCTTTTGGTAAATCATTAATGTCAGGAGTGAATTATGCATTACTGATAGCTGAGACTGATTGAACTTGTCCTCCCTCCGAACTTTTGTTATAAACTCCTTTTAAATACTTCTCTAGATGTAAGGACATTCTATCTGTAACTCAGGACTGCCTTGTACTGTAGGTGCTTTGTAGACTTACCTTTTGCACAATTTTCACAGTTAGCGATTTCATAGTAAGCCAGAGGAGCCATGGACAATGCATGAAAAATGTTTAATAAATAAAAAACAGAGATCAGAGACTAGGTATGAAATCACAAATTGTCACAAAGGTAATTAGGTACTGTACCACTGGAAACTATACTAGTGTAAAATCCTGGGTTCGGTATAAGGTTTTAGGCATACATGTGAAGTAAAACAGAGCTTTCACTGGCCGATTATCAAACTTTCTTGATAAAAACAAAACAAAACTCGCCTACCAAGCAAGAAGAAAGAATAACAGACACAGCGCAACCTGCGTTCTCTCCTCAACTGTCCACACCACACTTTTCTCTGGGTCTGAGATTAAATAAAACTTCACTCGCACCAAACAAATTACCATACACAAAACACTGAACATGTTAACCCAAATATTTCTCATACTAGGATCAGATCAGATTTTGGTATAGTTTAGTAAACTAGTTACATTTGTAGATATTAAAACAATTAGCAAAAACTTAAGAAGCAGCAAATGAAAAGGAATAGATAGAACTGAAGACTTGACAAACACCTGGTAGATGCAATTTAATGCATCTAAGTGCAGGGTACTGCAAATAGTAAACACAAACTAGAAATACAAAATGGAAAAAATATTATATAAAAAAGACGTAGGTTTTGGTGCTGACATATCATTTACATCATATAGACAATATGGGCAAGCAATACAATAGCAAACAAAATGATAGGCTATATACTCAAAAGCGCACAAGTTTTCATTGTTTTATAGCATAATCTAAAAAATATTGGCTTTGTGCCAGTGTGCCTTCTTGGCCAGTAATCAGATGTGAGATTTACTTCTGATAATGTTCTGGGGTTGACGAGATACCAAATGGTAGTCTCTGAAACAATTTCTTTCTTAAGGTGTAGTGAATGTGGTTAGAGAAACCAATTCAATGGACCTGTAAGAGCCTGTTATGGCATGTACAGTAGCTTTATGAAAACTGAGAGTCCCTCAAAATGAACAGGTGTTTCATTGACCACAGGGAACATGAGTCTATCAGTATGTTCTTTTAGAAGAATGTGTGAGATCAACACATTTCTATTTTCATATTAGGTTTTTAGCACAAAGACCGTTGTTGTGGTTTACCACAACAGCCAGCACACCAGTCCGTGGAATCTTCAATGGGGAAAATCACTCCCATCTGCTCTATTCTTTCAGGCTGCTCTTTGATTTTGTTCCTCGGTGGCAAAGAGACTTCCATGGTGATGACTGACCATGAGAACAAGACTCCTCTTTCAGAGGTAAGACCTACAAAAACATCTGATTACAGCTGTTTGAAGTAATTTTTGCAAGCAGATGAAGAAATTGTATATCTGGCAGACCTCATAGGGTTGTCCCCAACTCAACGTACTGTTCCACTATTTTACCCGTTTGTGCAATTTGCTGTCATATTTTTTGTGTTCAGATGTCAGGGTTCAAACATGTAAAATGTCAGAATCTTTGACTTACATTGAGTAAAGAATGATTTTTTCTTGATATTCATCATTATACTTAAAACCTTAGAATTAAAAAGTTGAAATTTCTTGCTGGGAATATACTGTATGGAATAAATAGTACCTTCATTATTTCAATTTTTTTTGTAGTTAAGGTACAAAAGTTAAAATAAAAATAAATGTTTGTTTTCAGCTTGGTACTTTAGTTATGATATGATATCATTCAATCATTTTCTATCCTTTTGTTCTCCCTCTGGTATTCTATGGAGTTGAAAACATGTGCTGGTGTTCAATGAGCAATGGTTCTGCTCACTGGACTTTATTTTGGTTTGTGTCACCAATCTTTAAAAGAAACTGACAGTGTGGTTTTAATTGAGGCAAAACTGACTGTACTGTTTTAATTCAGCGAATGCCTTCGTATGCCACAGTTATACTGTGGGCTCCTTAATTGCCAGAGTTAAGTCCCGTTAAACATTTGTGAGCTGATATGTGGTTTCTAGGAGCTCAAAGACCAGTGAACAGGTACTGTACATGCTTGTTTAGGATCTAGAAAAGGAATGGGACAGAATACTGGCACAAGACTGCATCTGAAACCTGGTGCAAATCACATATTGCAGCGTTACAGCTGCTTTCAGAGGTTGCCACACACATGAGTAGCCTATAACTTTGACAGCACCCTCTGTTAATAAGTCCTATTAATGACAAATGTTAATCAGCATGATGAATTTACCTGTATAATTTACCTGTGTCCTGTATGTTCAAGAAAATATCAATTACTGTCTGCTACAATTGTCAGTTAGGATTTTACTGCAGTTGTGAGCAAGGTTTATTTTAATGCTCAATATACTTGTCTTTGTTAAGATTTTGTAGACATGTTTAGAACATACAGATTATCTGCATGATCTATCTTTTAGTTTTAGTTTAATTTCAGTTCATTCCAATGCACTAGCAAAATGTAATTTCCTTTTTCCCTCCCACATCCACATTTTGGTGAAATGTCATTTCTGAATAACATCCCAGGAAGCAGCAAAAGAACCAGATTTTCAATATTTTTGTATACTTACAAATATTTTTAACAATGACCACAAACTTTTAACCTATAACTTTAACAGTAGACCCATTGTTGATCAATCATCTTAACAAATGTTAGTCAGCATAAGAGGTTTACATATATAATGTCTGTTCAAGAGCAGACATGGATAGCTGGTTAGTGCTGATGCCTCTTTTGTGTTGAGTTTATATTAGGTCACATTATAATTATTTAAATATGGTACCTAGACAGATCAAGATATGGTCCGAATCAGAAGCCAGGAGGTGTCCCAGAGAATATACAGTATGTATCTATGTACTCGACAAAGGTTAAAAATACTGGGTTATACCCACCCTGATATGCTTATTTTAAACATAAACAAGAACAAAATAGGTGTGCAAGAAACTGTTTTAGAATAAACCAAGATATTTGTTAAGCAAGTTGTGCAAGGATAAAATGGTTGATAAAGAAAAGTCTTCACCTCATGTGAAAAATTTAAGATGCAAGCTGTATTACTTTAGGATCATCAACTCAAATAAGTGTGCTGTGCTATAAGAGTGCTCATTTTATTTTGGCAGAGTATAGTGTTATAAACAAAAATAAAATAAACTGTTAAAATGATTACAGAGTGGCTACTGCATTTTCCTCAGAGACTTTATCATTCCATTATCTTCTGAATTGTTTTGGCTTTGTTTCAGTTTCCATTGTGCCTCATTCCCTGTTGTAATTAGTAAACTGACACTTTCATCAAAAAGTGCTGACAGCAATTAAAAGTCTACTTTGAATTTTTCTTTATTAACCAGTTTGGTTTTATAGCAAACCCTGACCAAATAAATTTCTATGGTTTTGATATTTCTAAACAAATGTATACCTATAGTTATTCTAAAGGGATAAAGCCATTTAGTCATTTTAAGGATTCAAAATGAAGGACATTTTATTGTGAAACTGACTGTAGAGTAATTTGCTTCATCTCACACTGACAATCTTCATAAGGAAATGCGATGAAGATATGTTGGTTTGTCTGTGCTGGGTTTATAAAATTTATTCAATTAAGTGAAATTGCAGGCACTTTTATTTTTTCTGTTCAATCATTTCCAGCCACAGGACAAGGAGAAAGTAATGATAGCCAGTTTTGACTGCCATGTACAATCTTATCTCAGCTCAGGAAAGTATTTGGCTTCAAGGCTCAGTGGAATTTAACTCAGGAGATCCTCTTTATCATTTTGCAATTGATTTGTTTCTTTTGGTTACAATACAGCTATTGCTTTTTTTACATTACTGTTGAAGAAAAACTGAAAGAAACGTTAAAAAAACCCAAAACACAGATGTTTACATGTTTAAAATTAAAGTATATTATAAACTACAAATTATCTAGCATTGTTTTTCATCAGAGAACCCCTTCCAACAGTTTGACTTGCTTAATTTAAAATTTGCTTTTGAAAATGAAGTGCTAATTTAATAAAAGATTGTGGGAATGTGGGATCAGTCTTTGAATACTATTATTGTTTTCAAAAACTCCAATACACTTCTTTGCACAATAGCATGGAAATACACATTATAGAACAGCCTTTGTGTCACTTTTCCATTTGTTCAGTTATTGCTCCTTTAAAAGCATCATAATCTTTGTAGCAGTTATTTGACTTGATTGGCTAATCATACACCTACTTACATCATTCTGCCTCATGGCTCTTGGGTCCTGGGCTTGATTCCAAACTGGGGTACAATTTGTTTAGAGTTCAAACGATCTGTTCATGTGGATTGATAGTGAGTGACATGGTTTCCTCCCTCATCCTGAAAACAATACTGGCTAGTTGATTGCTACTGGTATGTATTACAAAATTTGAATACCTTGACAATTCACTGGAAGAGAAATAAGCCCATTGTTATTTTTTCAGCTTTCCTTCACATGCTGTACATAAAGGTTGCATTCGGTTCAAAGGTCTGACGATCTCATGCTGTCATGAAAGAATTGTCAGTATTAGCATTACCTGGTTAACTTGTTCCATATGTTATCAACATTTTGTATAAAGTAGCACCTTCTGTTTCCTTTTTTAAAATGTATTTCCCTTTAGTTCTATCTATATCCTCTAGATTGTTTCATTGTACATTTTGAAGAATTCAATAGGGTTGACTTTGTCCATGCCTTTGATGATTTTGAATCATGTTCTTTCATAATCTTCAGTGTTCAAGGCAAGCAAAATATTTTTAATTTGCCTGAGTGTTCTTCCCTGGATAGATTCTAAAGCAGATTTTTTGTATTATGGAGACTAAAATAAAAAACAGAATTCTAAACATATAACTAGTGCATTGCACAGTTTTAAAAATATATTTCTTGAATACAATTCTGCACATTAAACTTATAGTTTCCCAATTTATATTTCTAGTATGTTTTAACAACTTTTTTAATGTAAAACTCTGCCTTTATATCAGCATTTAGCACTCTGCATTCAATAGATAACATTAAATGTTATCTATTGAGTGTTTGTTCAATCTTAAATTTTTTCAAAATCTTTTTGAATTTTTTGCAGGTTTCACAGTATTTGATAATTCTCTTATTTTGTGTAATCAATAAATTTAATTAATTTACTATTATGAAACCTACTGTAGGTCATTGGTGTAAATTAGGAAGGTCAGTGATATATTTATCAATCTACAGTATGTGGTACTCATTACATTATGAACATTCACCATTTATGTGTATTTTGTTTTCTCTCCGTCAACCAGGTTTAAATCAAAATAGATGCATTTCCATGACTGCAACCTTCTGTAAATCTAAACAGCAGCTGACTATCCCATAGAGAAATACTGGTGAATAAAAGTTGGTATACAGTATGCTTTTTTTCAATACAGTATATCATTAAATTGACGACAAGCAAGAAGAAAAATGGAAAAGATTTGATGTGTATCAGCCCTTTTAACAGCAGAAGATAACATTTCCTAATTTTCAGTTGTACAGCGTAGTTTAAGAGTCTGTTGCTTGAAGACAGGTCAAGCCAACAAATCACCAGGGCATAGCTTCTTTCTGATTAATAGCAGGTCAGAGACAGACAGTCAGTTTTAATTTGATTTGAGCATAAGATAAAAAAGAAGCTATAAAGAGCCATTTTCAGTAAAAGCTGGTGCTCTATAATTTCCACTGATAGTTCCCTTGGGAAACAAGTTTCTTGCTATTTCATGTCCAATATAATCCCATTTTAGATGAAAAGATGCTTAAATGACTGCGTCATTCTGTAATAAAATATCTCACAACTGTTTATCTGATCAATGAAGAGCAGTCACAAGCTGGCCAGGGTTAATGTGTACCATTTCACTTAAATAGAAAATTATTGACTGTCAGAGACATGGGAATTCAAAGACTGAGTTCAAATTACTCATTTTGCAAATTGAGTTGAAAAACCTTTACAGTTGAACTGCATTCTTGGGAAAGTGAAACAACTAGATGATGTTAAGGATTATGATAATTATAATAGTAATATTCACATTTGTATATTCAGACAAAATAACCTTATTTTTTTAGAACACCTGTCTTAATCTTTACATGTGTTACAGAATAAATAATCTTGTTTTTATTTATTTTTTATTTATATTTTTATTTAGATTACTTGGAATTATACAAAACATTATTTGCTTCTGCGTTGCAATTTTGTAGTAGTCAATATTAAAATAGAAAGTAAAAATACTGCATTCTAGCACAATAAATGTAACTCAATCATTTAATTAGGACACAAACATTTACTGACATAAAATCACTTTAATATTTTTCTAAAAAGGTTTTAGA